TTCTTCTTCTTCTTCTTCTTCTTCACATGGAGTCAAAATATCTGCAGATTCTTGTTTTTTCAGATTCAGTTTTTTCAGATCTGCAGATTCTTGTTTGTTTTGATCTAACATTTTCAATTATTTAACACTAGTACACAACGTACTATATTCTGGATATGTGTTGCAGGCAGTGATTTGGCACAGTGGTCATCTTTGCCGCTCTGTTAATTGTTTGTGATGTCTGCTCAACCCTAGACCTTAGTGATTGTGGGTCTGAGGACCTTTTTTGTCTGCTGCTTAACTTATTTAATCAACAGGCCAAGGGTTTACAACAACAACTATTTCACTGAGTCAACCAAGACTCACCCAAGACCTCACTTTACAGGCCTCAGGCACGGCACACTCACAGACGCACACACACGTGGTACTTGGTAGTCATCTGGAACGCATTGCAGTTACTTCATTCTTGACATATTTTTTCTTGTGCTTCCCGGCCCCATGCTCCTGTTGTCATTGTATAAGTGATGCACCACTCACTGAGCTCAAGATGGAAAAAACAATCACGCCGCAACATTAGCACTGATAACAGTAGTGTCAGCAGAGGAGTTATTACTGAGAGAGCAGCATGCTGCATCGCTGCACATCTGGACCTCTGCCATAGCCACACACTGCCCCTATCTGTCAGAAAAGTTAACGCTCCGGTCTGTAAACCATTAACTATGAACTTTAAAATTCCAGAGCCAGACGTTTGACTGTAGGCAAAGTCTGTTTTACTTTACAGCTTCGTCTGGCCTTAACCTGCCTTTTTAGATGATCAATGACAAATAAGAGTGTCCACAATGAAGAGGGAAATTCTTTCAAAAGCTATATTAAAACACGTTTTTTCTTAGAAATGCACACTTTGCTTTCGTGTTAGTGTCAGATGGTTTTGAGAGTTTTTTGTTTTTGCCATTTAAAAAAAAATAATTCAAATTTTTACTATATAGATGTCATGTGGTGTAACCATGAAATAAAAAATAACACATTTTCTTTACAGATCGAATACAACTGAGTTTGCACATCTTAATATTTAAAAATAAAAAGGTTTTTGATATATTTTTCATGGTAAAAATTCCCACCTGTGGGACGTTTGGCGCTCTTTTTTTGTTGTTGTCTTTTTTCTCTATCAAATCTTTTAGTAATCATCATAAATCATATATCATTTGAAAGCTTAGAAGCCCAAAATTCATCCTGTGAAAACCATTTCGACATTGCGTTACCATGGAAATGGTACTTTAAAATCTTTTGGCGGTCTCCTCCCCCTTAGTGGGCAGTGTCAAGTGTCCTATTACAAAATGAATTACGGTCTTTTAGAATCAAAACTTTTTATAATCTTGAAAAAAAACATATCATTGGAAAGGTCTGAGTCGCAGGATTCCATATTTGGTGGTTATTTTGAGATAGAAGTAATATTGACAGAGAAATGCATTTAAAAAAATTAAATGGACTTTGGATGGCACCCGGTGGCTGTTTGTGGTATAACGCCCTAAATAAAATCTCACAGGAACCTCAATATTTTTCATATCAACTTCAAATTTGGAACATAACTTATTAAGACATAAGGCTATATTTTTATACCAATTTTAGAGTAAACCCTGATATATAAAATATTTATTATATGTAAAATAAAATAAAATTTATATAGTGCATTTTCTTTACAGTAAATTTAAACTACTATAACTTTTTGATACTTAAATGTTTTGAAAGAATTCCACTTTTGCAATAATTCGCTGATTTTCTTCTTTAAAAAGAGACCAACCTTATGTCTGTATTCCAAAGTGTTCATAAATTACAACAATTTAAGTTTGGATAGTGCACCTGCATGCCTATTTTAAAAAATGGGGGATGACAGTTAAGGGGTTAACATTTTAGTTCGTTGCTCCACTTGAAATTTTTGAAGAGATTTATTAACCTTGACACATAGTCATTCTTTTTCCTGTTTGTTTCTGCATATTGATTGAATCGCATGACTTTGTTGGTTGTACCACATTACTTTTTTTTCCCGAAGTAATGATAAAACGTGCAAAACTGCTCCCATCTTTTCTTAATTAGTTTGTTTTTTCTTAATTAAGATATCAGGAGAGTAGTAGCAACCTGAAACTGTTGATTTTATGCCCCCAGAAAGATATCATTTGTTGTATTTTAGTTTATTGGCTAATAAAAAAATATAGCTATTAAAAATGGCTACTGGCTAATAAAATAGCTAATGGAAAATATAGCTACATTATGTCTAATATATTTACAACTACTACTCTTAATAATTTTATGCCAGTATGCTACTTTTAGAGCTCTTCTTTTACAATATGCATACAATAGATTTATATTGCTATGATCACATGGGTGCAAATGTGGCATACGAGAAAACATCATACCTAAAATATAATCGGTGAAGACAGTAATATCGAGGTCAGGGAAACTCGCCAGACACTTTTGGTGAGATAAATATGTGCACTTGTCCACAGAGACCTATAAGACAGATAGAGAGCCATTAGAGAGGAGAAATACACCACTTATCTACAAGTAATGTGTTGATACACACCACTACCTGCAGGGATATAGGGCTCAGATTAGGTTTTCCAGCTGTTTAGATACATCAGAAGAGGAAATGAGGTCAAATATGTTTTATTAAGTGTTAAAATGATCACAATCCTACGCATCTTTTTTTTATATAAAAAGCTAATCTACACATATTTACTAGTTATGTATATGTGAGTCTTTAATGAGTGTTAAAGGACTTTATCCAGTCAACAAAACACTTCAAGGTGGAGCCATGGGATACGGCCTGTCAGCACATCTATAGATAGACCGTTCCTGTGATGTAATGGAAGAGTGTTTAACTTGTTATAGTATATATCTGTGTTAAATGATTTACTGTAATGTATAATATGCAGTTAGTGGTGTTTGCTTCTGCGCATAAACATTAATGTTCTTACTTGCATAACACCGTTAACTATTATTTTTTAAAATTATTTTCTTTAGCAGTGTCTGTAATACATCAAACTAATGTGTTATGGGTATGGGTGAATATGTGAATCATCTGTGGGGAAAAGAATGCGTTTGGTTTGAAAATAGAAATGGCAGACAGTTCAGGGGGAAAAAGCATTTGTTTGCCATGACCATGTCTGTCCTTGTATGAATAGAAATGGACTCTATGGAAAGGATATAATTTAATGAAATAATATTACATGGTGAACGTATTATCTATTTTGATGACAAATGCATAAACTAAAACAGAAGGGTAATTTTATGGATAAACAGACCGCAGCGTCAGTAGAACGAATCAGCTTTCAATAGACATCCACCAGTTTACTTTTAAACCCTGATAAATTAATAAATAACATATCCACAAACTAAATGGATAACAAGACACGGGACAGTGTGGACAATCCGGGCAAGAATGTGAAACGAACGAAAACCCTTCCCAATGACAATACACACGAAACCAAATCAGAACACACTCTTAGCTCACTCACTGAGAGAACAACATGCATTTAGAACGGCATGAAAATAAAGCAGTTCATTCCAAATTCATTTCGAATTTCGAAATTTCTGCTAAATGCAGATATTTACTTACAAAATATACATCACAATGACCTAAGTGAACACATGCACAGTCCTAGGCCTATCACTCATGTCCTCAGTGTCTCTGTACTGAATGGTGATTGTGATGTTACTCTCAGAATCATGATTGTCCCCCAGGTCTTCTGCTTTGAGGCTCTGTGTCATCTCGGCCCTCCTCATCCTCTGAATCTGTTGTATATTAAAATGTTATATTACTTGTTTTCCCTGACCAACAAGCATCACTATGAGCATCACTCACACCTGGTGTTTGATGGACGTGGATGTTATTTTGCTTACCGTGGTAAAGAAAAGGTGAACAAAAGCTCTGGCTCCGCCAGGGGCCGTTCTGTGAAATTCCTGTAATCACTCATTTCAAATGAAAAATAATTACCAAAATCATTGCTGGTGAAAATTCAGGTGAGCTGATCCAGCAGCTAATATTCCAACAACTTTTATTCATAACCAAACATTCTTAAATATCAACATACTGAGACTCAATGAAAAACAGTTATACACACTGATCTATAATAGAGAAGAGAGTCATTATATATAGATCAGTGGTTATATTTCTAGTATGCCTATTACAGCTACTACAGTTAGGATTTAAATAATAATAATAATGATAATTGACAATATTACCACAGTAAGCAGATACGATAATATTAACCATTTAACCATCATTCTTTCTTTCTTTCTTTCTTTCTTAATTAATTAATTTTTAAATAATGAACTAGACCATACCTGATGTGCATATATATCTATGCATTACCTTATGCATTCACAATCGTTAGTGTTACTGTAATGTACTTGTGGTGTGGCACATAAAGTCAATTAATGCAGGCTTATCATAAGTAAATAACATCGTCACATTCATGCATCCAACGCTAGATGGCGCGTACGTCTACCAAATTTTGTGCGAATCTTTCGCTGTCACCATGTCCTGTAAATGTCACATTGTGAAGTTAATATGGATTCCTCCGAGCCAAATGATTCCTGAAACCATTAAAACTGCTCAGCTACTTCATGAAGACTTGCCTTTTCATTTAGATCTTACAGTATTATGGCCTATTTGTGTTCATTTTGTTATTATATATTTTATTTTACATAAAGCAATACTTTTTATGTTGTTTATTTGTATTTGATCAGTGTTATGGAAACATTGTATTACATTCTAAAATGTATATGTTTGTATGTATGTATGTATTCATAATATATTTGTAATTATTTATGTTTAATATTGCCGTTTAATAATAATAATGTTAATTTTTATTTGTTTATTTTTACATTATATTAACTGAAATAGCATTTCAACAACTGAAATAGCATCCTGATGATCCGACGATAGCTGCTCGCATCTCAGCATGTCTAACAGACATTTCTGGTTGGATGACGGATCATCACCTTCAACTCAACCTGGCTAAGACAGAACTGCTTGTGGTTTCAACAAACCCATCACTTTATCAAAATTTCACCATCCAGTTAGGCTCATCAACCATAACTCCTTCAAAAACAGCTAGAAACCTTGGAGTTGTGATTGACGATAAGCTGCATTTCTCAGATCACACTGCTAAAACTGCCTGGTCCTGCAGATTTGCTTTATACAACATTAGGAAGATCTGGCCCTTTCTTTCAGAACATGCAACACAACTCCTCGTTCAAGCTCTTGTTCTGTCCAGGCTGGACTATTGCAATGCTCTCTTGGCAGGTCTTCCAGCCACTTCTATCAAACCTTTACAATTAATCCAAAGTGCCCCTGCAAGATTAATCTTTAATGAGCCGAAAAGAACGCATGTCACACCTCTGTTCATCAATTTGCACCGGCTACCAGTAGCTGCTCGCATTAAATTCAAGGCATTAATGTTTGCCTACAAAACCACCACTGGCTCTGCACCCATTTACCTAAATTCATTACTTCAGAGTTATGTGCTCTCTAGAAGCTTACGTTCTGCAAGTGAACGGCGTATTATTGTGTCATCTCAAAGAGGCACAAAATCACTTTCACAGACTTTTTCCTTAACTGTTCCCTCCTGGTGGAATGCCCAACTCAATCCGAGCAGCTGAGTCCTTAACCATCTTCACGAAACGACTAAAACACATCTGTTCCACCTTTGTTTGACCCTCTAACTCTAACACTTTCTATTCTATTTTAATTCTACTTTATCTATATTTATCTTTTTTTTATTATTATTTATTTATTTATATTAAAAACATTTTTAAAAACTAGCTTTCTATTTTTTTCTATTCTATCTACTTGTTTTTCTTTGTGTGTGTTAAATAAATACAATGCACACAGACTTAAGTCGAGATAGTGAATTGGTGGGTTTTTGTTAAATGTGAGCCAAAATCATCACAATTAAAAGAACCAAAGACTTAAACTACTTCAGTCGGTGTGCATTGAATTTATTTAATACACGAGTTTCACAATTTGAGTTGAATTACTGAAATAAATGAACTTTTCCACGACATTCATTATATTCATCATACAATTTATTGAGATGCACCTGTAAATGTAAATGAAATAGGCCTAATAATATGTAAGTGTTAATATTTATGTGTAATATATTCCTATTTTGTATGTACAGCCATGACAATAAAACACTTTTAAAAAGAATATTTGCCCAGTGATATCAGCCCGTGTGTGTGTGTGTGTGTGTGTGTGTGGGTGTGTGTGTGTGTGTGTGTGT